GCCCTTCTGTTCATGGGAGGATTAAGCTGGATGACTCATGTTTAGAAAGAGACCTCTCCGCTGGGTTCCACACATCAGCGGCCTCAAAGGGAGCGTGCCTCCCCAGCCCAATTAGCAGCTGGGGGGCTGCAGTACATGACAGACAGATTCACCCTCTCTCCTTGCACCCCACCGTTCTCCCCTCCCCCATGCTGGCTGTGTTCGGGTAAGGAGCGGGATCCACGCCTGGAAGCAAATCACTCGCAGAGCAGCACTTCCCCCTTGCCTCTTCCCCACAGCTGGCCCTCAGAACTTGCACCAAAGCAGCTTTGGAGGGCAGGTGAGGAAACTGCAAAGGGAGGAGAAGGGAGAAGGCAGAATTCCTATTCCACAGGGGAGCCCTTCCTCAGGTGGAATGAACCATTTGGATCCACCTCAGGCAAAATAACATAGCAGCAATACTTTGGTTGGTCCTAGCCACTTAACAAAGAAGGGTGGTAAAGACAAAGAAATCTACACCCGTGACTCACACGCATCATAAACCCATTCTCAAGGAAAAGTATATGGCCAGCACCAGAATAAGCATGTCCTAAGAAGGACTTGAGAAGAAGGCTGCTATGGAATTAAATTGCAGGTGGGCTTGGCTTTGAAGATATACTTCTACTTATAGAGTTACCTACCTCCAAGGGTCACAGTGTCCCTTTCTCTGTTGTGTTCAACTCCCTCTCTGTGTCTTCAGGTTTTCTGTATGATTTTTTTTCAGGCCAGTAAACAGTACATAATTCATGTTAATTATGATTATTATATGGTTCTTGCCAGTGAAGCCTCTCCACATGTATCATATCAGAGCTAGAGAGGAATGCAAATCATTTCCTGGTGCACTTCATATATTGCCAAGGCAGCTGGCAAAATGTTAGCTGCAGAACTTCCAAGTGTGGCAGTAGAAACTGTAATAAACCTGGAGCAAGTAGACACTGATCACATGCAATGAAAATGTGCATTAAATATTTCTGAATCTTCTAACAAATGGGAATACTGGGAATATCCCTACAAGTTATACCTTTAAAAGTGTAAAAATAATCTGACTTGTTCATAACGGATCTTTATAGAGAGACTACATTGAAAGGCCCAATTTAGCTTTTGTGCACCGCCAATAAGATGGGCTGGTCATTATGGGCGTTACACTCTGAACATCTGGAAGACAACAGGTGGGCGAAAGCTGCAGGGCAGAATCAGGGCAGGGCCTTCCCTCTCAGCTCCAGGCTTTGAAGGCTCTGGGCAAGGCCCTCTCCATGGGCCAGCCCCTCAGTGCACCTTCCTTCTCACTGCCACGGTCTCCAGCTGCCCTTCCTGATTCTCTTCATGGCTACTGCTTGCCATTTCCTTGGCAGGCAGAGAGCCCATGAGCCAGCAGGGAGAGGCATCGGAGTGCCTCCTTTTCGGCCTCACCATTGTCTGGGCCCGGTTGCTGGGTTAAGAGCAGGAGCAACTCCAAGGCCTCCTGGAGTGGGACCCTGCCAGGGGCCCTACTTTTCTCTGCACTGGCTATTTGGATATGGCAACAGCTTGATCTGAGCAAGTGCTTTTAAGGGCCCAGTTCCAGAGCTGGGTTTGAATCAGCTCTGGGACACATGAAGTAAGTAATAATCGAGAGACATTTCTGAGCAAATGCAACATGGCATTTCACTCATGACTAAGTCACGGCCAGATGCCTCTGGAATTAGGGGAAAGAACTGGGGCTGGGCCCAGTTTCTGGACAGGCCTGGACTGCACCTCTCTGCATTTCTCATTAGAGTCTTTCTGACTGCCTTGTCACTTTTTTATGCTTACCAACCTGCCCTTCCTCTTTTCAGGCTAAGATCAGAGGATCGGCTTCCCCATCACCTGAGGATGTTTCTCTAGCAACACTAACTAAGGTATAGATTGGGCTTCCCATGTAGCACATTTTAAACTGATCTAATACTGTATATATTTCAGTTGCCTTGTCAAGCCTTAGTTGTACATATTAATACTTACAAATGGATTAATATATGCAAATAGATATGTTTCTCCTGCACATGTGCATTTAATCAAGAATAAAATAGTCTCAGTACATCCAGACATGCTCTGAGGAGCAGGTAGGGCAGGGCAGGAGGACATGGCTTGTTTTGCAGCCCCCCATCCCCCCTCACTGCCCCTATTTTAAAAGGGGAAGTTGCGGTTTACAGATAAAATTCAGATGCAAGCTACAATGTTGGTAAAATGGAGCTATTTTAAACTAAAATATTCCTTTTTGGTGTTGCCACAGTTTACTGGTAGATTTTAGGGCAAACAGCAGCTTTTTGGGGTTTTTTTTAAGGTGCTGTTTTGAAGCTGCCTTTTTTCCACCTGTCGCCACCAAGCAACTGAATTTTGGTAGCAAATTCAGAGGCAGTGGCAGAGCAATAGTATAGTCTCTTAACGCATGGAAGTTGCTTGCCGCGGATGTGCATATGTATGTTCCACACATGCAAGTAAAGCTTGGAATCTAAGTGGTTTGTGGTTGAATGCAATAACCCAAAAGAAGGATACAACTCCCATCAGACCTAGTCAGCACAACCAAAGGGGAGGAACCATGGGAGCTGTAGGTCATAATATCTGGGGGATCGTATGTTGCCCACCTTTGCAGTCTAGGGAGACCATTCCAGCAGTCCAGCTGGAGAAAGATTCCTGCATTTCTTATTAAAACCATTGACAGGTTTTGCCTGCAACCTGTGCTTCTCTGACTGAGTTCACCAAGAGACTTCCAAATGCAGCACTGCCTTTTCCCCAGACTCCAGTTTCCTCACAACATGCATGTTTTGACAACTAAACACTCATGTTAGTTATTATGGTATAGCATGCTCCATATACCTGAGTGGGAACTAGTAGCTGCTAAAGCGAATGGGTCAGCAATCAAAACGGCAATTCAATTCAAACCAAAAGGGGTTTTGTTAATTGGGTTTGATTACCTTTTCTTTTGACAAGGCTATACTTATAACTCTCTAATTAGGCAAACCTGAAATTGAAATTGATAAACATAATAGAAAAAAAGGAACATGGTTATTTATTGTATTTGTATCCTGCCTTTTTCCCTATAAGGAATCCAAAACAGCTCACATAATCCTTCTCTTCTCCATTTTGCGCTCCAAATATCCTAATTTGAAATCAGGGCCAGCAAATATTAAAGGCATTGGCAGATAGCAAGTTTAAATCCATTTTGTTGTAGGCTAAGTGCAGGATCCGCAGTCATGGGAGTAGGATAGTTTTGTTTTAGCGATCAGCATTTTGCAAAGGAAATTTGTTTGATCTGAATTGGACCCATAGCTAGGGATGAATTGGACCCATAGCTATGCTAGGGTTCTGATCGGGATTGGGTCCCTTTCCCCTACCCAAGAATAAAAATTGAAATAAATTGGAGCTGCAAAGTGTGTTTTAATGACTGTTTTTGCCCTCCTTTACCATTTAGAAGGGCAAAAATTCACATAGCCACCCTTTAATGTACATTTTAACCCAGACATTTATTTCAGTAAAGAAATGCTCTGATGCACATAGATTAATATGCTCAGAATTCTGAAATAACTTTTATCAGAAACCCTCAGTAGCATAAGTCCACAGTAGGTGTAAAAACTGTAAATAAAGATAGCTTATTTACTCATGAAGTTTCTGTACATTTTGGAGTCTTTCTTTTAAGGCCCTCTGGAGCTTGTAAATTTAGCAGCAGAAATTGTTGCTTGGACATACATAGAAAAAGCCAACGTGAACCAAGGAACTCTTAGGACGTGTCATCCCATACAACAGAGGGAAGGAGGAGTACAGGACGGCAGGTTGCTTCTGTGTGTCTTTCAACAGGCAAAGCATTTAGGTGGCTGGTTTTGGCCATCTTGGGGGGTGTGGGGGAGGAGGCTGAGGTGCTGCTAGGACATGTCCTACCTTGATGGTACAGCTCTTCTCCTCCCTACTTCCCCAAAGGCTTTCTCCAAGATTGCTCTCTTGACTTCAGAGTTGGGCCTCCAAAAAATCTTATGGTCATCTAATTGCTATCTAGTGCCTTTAGGACTGTGCATTTATGACACTTAAGACCAGCATATAAATATATGTGTCATTTGTAGTAATAGCAGCATAAACAACATATGTTCAAAATAAAATTTTAACATTGCAGCTGCCCCTCTCCAAAAATCTCCCAACTGCCTAACCTTGAAACTGTCCTATGAACTCCCTGGTCCCTTCCTGTGCCTCTTCCCATTTTATTCAACTTCCCTATTAAAAAGCCTCACTCATACCTTCCCCTTCTTCAGGAATCTTCTGAGTATGCCTTGGACAAACCTTATACATTTTCATAGGATGAATGGATTGAAAAATTGCATTAAAAATCTTCAAACATACCTTGCTGATACGAAAGCAAAGACATACTAGACCTTCCTCCTGACCTACCAGAGCAAATGATCTCCTAGAAGATGAGAAGCCAGATCATAAAGTTTAACCTCAGCAAACTCTATAAAAAGAAAATGGACAAGGCCTCTCAAACTAGTGAAGGTTACTCATCAAAGTTTAAACTCCTGTAAATATGCCATTTTTATGCTTTCTACTTCAAATTCAGCACAGGCTGTTCTCTCTCAAACTTCCAAGTTGTAGTCCAATCCAATGAACTATTTTCTGAGGATGAGCTGTTGAACCTGTCATAAGCTCAGTTCTTGTTGTAATAGCAGTTTGCAATTTGGCCCACTTAGCCTTACTATGAGGCTTTGTAAGTTGAGCCTATAAGTTGACTTTGATCTTATGTAATGCCTAGTCCCTGTTTTATCCAGCTGAAAAGAAAAAGCACAAGTCCTGCTCATAACTGAGACGAGAAGCTGCTCTCCCTCCTGTTCTTGACTCTGCCTCGGAAAGGCAGGGCAGGGCAAGGCTTCTGCTTCAGAAAGCAGATTGTAGGTGTCATTAGAGAGGATGGAAAGACATGAGAAGGGCTTTGCTGATTCAAACCAGAAGTCTATCTAGCTTGGCATCCTGTTTGCACAGGGGGCATGAGTGCAATAGCAGTCTCCCACTTTAAGGTAGATAGAACAGATTAATGGTCCATTTATGGCCTTCTGTAGAAAAGCTCTATTTCTTTGTTCAAAAATCAGCAATTTCACATTTTCCTTCTTAAAGAGTTTTCAGGTGCCATCTAGCCCTCATGATTCCTTTGTGTGTCAATAAAGAGTTGGGTCCAGATGCAGGCTTGTATAACTCGGTCGGTGCAAAGAGAGTTCCTTGCCCTCCCCTTCTGAAGGTAGCTCTTCAAAAGAGGGTCAGGGAATCCTGCTAAATATGGGGAGGCAGGGAGATCCCAGAACACTGGGTAGGGACACTATCTCTCAGTGGATGACAGATCCTGGATCCAGTCAAGGATCTCTTGGCATTGCTCTTTGCCTCCGTTCCTTCCACCCACTTCCCAAAAATGTCAGTTCAGGCCTGGTATGGGGGAATGACTGGAAGTCAGGCTTGCTGAGGTTTCTGTTCACCTTCTTCCTATTCCTGGACACAGCCTTGTTGCTACTGTTGCTAGAGCAAGAAAAGTGCACATTTACATGCACCCTTTTTAAAAACCTTGCATCAAAATGTTCACTTCCTTCCTGACTACAGCGTGAATATGTGCTTTTTATTCCAAAGTGCAGATTTTTAAAGTATGGAGCCTGGCTTATGTGACATGCAAAAGGATATTTCCAACCATACATTGATAAGTAAATGGGTTTTTAAAACTTTAACAGGGAGACTTTTTGTTGCTGTCGACTTCTTGCTTATGTATAGTGACAGTCGATTCCCTGTTTCATATTTCCAGTATGCTATCATCATTCAGAAATGGTGGCGTGGCACACTGGTCCGGCGCAGTCTGCAACAAGCCATCAGATGTGCGTTGGTGATACAGAAATGGTGGCGCTCTGCTTTCCGTCAGGCACAGGAAAAGAAAAGGGCAATGGCACTGGTGATTTACATTTGGTCTGAGAAGACGACTGTCCTCTTGCAGTCGATGCTCAGGATGTGGCTTATGAAAACCCGGTACAAGAGATATCAACATGCAGCCCAGGTCATTCAAAATAATTGGCGGCTCTACAATTTCAGGAGAGACTCCAGTGTCTATTCACTCGACAGCCTGGCTCAGGATGGCATAGACTTGAACATTGAGATTGTGGTTGGGTAAAAAGACTCCGCAGAGAAGGTAGCAAATATTATCCTCGCTGTCAGTTGCAGGGGGTAAAATAAACACATGGCTTATAATACTGCTGTAAGATTGCTGCCTAGATTACCATTATGGGGTTGCCTAAAAGCATAGCCTGATGATTGCTAGGATTTAACAAAAGAATGTTAGTGTTCTATAATGGTCCAAGTCAGCCGGAAGATGTCTCTTTATGGATGCTCATTGTTTAGAAGATACTTTTTTAATACAGTGACTGCTCAAGAAATTTTCACTTGAAACATTCCAGAGAGGGTTGTGATGATTTTTCCATTATCGTCAGAGTTTAGAGAAGGTGTATGTGTAGAAACAGCAGTTTGCGATGGGAAGTTACAAATAGGCATATTGACCCAGTGCAAAGAAAAAGGCCGGAAACATCCTAGATGTGGGAAGCTGCTTCGCTCTAGAATTCTGGTGCCACTTAGGGCTTTTAACATGAGGCATTGAACCCGATGCTCTGATTATGACTACTGCAATGCATTTATACCCTGCCTTTCTTGCAAGGAACCCTAGGTGGCTTTTGTGTCCTCCCACCCTCTGCAAGATAGGCTGAGAGTGAGTATCTAGCCCAAAGTTGCCCAGTGAGCTTCATGACTAAGTGATGATAGAACCTAGAAGTCCTGAGTTTCAGTCCAACAAGGAAGAACAACCTTTTACATAAGGGTTTTTGTCCCCTGGGTTTTCCTCACTGTCTTTCTATGTCTTTCTATTTGTTTCATTACACAGTCAAGGTGGTGCTACGTCATACAGTGGAATTTGGAAACGACACAAGGTTTCTCTAGTGAATCATGGCATCATCCAGAGAAATACTGCACTATCCTAGCTCTTTTAAAAGCTGCAAAATGGCTGGAAAACACAGGAAAGGCCCCGGGAGGCCGACAATGGTGTGTAAAAGCCCCACAAACTTCTGCCAGTGCCAGGTCATAAGAGCACAAAAAACTCCTGGTGTAGAAAAGCCCATTGTAGATCAGCTGCTTGTAAGACTCGTAAGCATCTTGCCCCCAGTTGCTTTCTCATATATCTGTGAATAAAGTAAATATCACAATAGGAGCCATAACTCTCCATTAAAGCCTGTCTTTTTTTTTTCTTTATTTCTGCTTTCTGCCTGCCCAGGAATGGGTGTATTTTGTTCAAGACAAGAAGTTTATTGGCCCACATTTTTAATTATTTTTGGCTCACTGCTGCCTGGAATGCTATTTATTCCATACTATTGTAATTCTACTGTTTGTTCATATTTTTATTTTCCCACTTTTACAGCTGCTTTCAAACCATGGGGTATCTTGAACCTTTTGCAAGTCAGCTAGATAATTTTTTATCAATTAGTCCAGGAATATCTTAACAGACAAAGTAGGCAAGTAGGCGAGAAGTTGTTTACAAACACAAAAGAGAGCATCTCACATACATGCAATGATGTGCGTCCACTGAACAACACGTGGGCCGATTTCCCTGGGCAAAGACATGTAAAACAGTTGGAACAGGTCATCCACAAATATCCAGTGCACCCAAAAGCAGTCTCCGAGCGGAACAGGGCTGATTCTGATTTTCATTACATAGTCACCCAGAAAGTTGCATGGATGAACCTTTCTGGTGAAATAGCTTCCTATAAAAACATCTGCCTCCTACCAGGTCAGGCGATTTGTCCATTCAGCCCTGTATTGTCTACACCGATTGGCAGCGGCTTTCCAGGGTCTCATGCAGAGAGTCTCACATCACCTGAACTGGAAATGGGCTTGGGATCATCTGTGTGAAGGTGGGTGATCTACTATGAAGCTTGGGTGCCCTGAGCCATGAGTTCCTCCACAGGGATTGTCGCACGGGCTCCAACCCTGGACCGTGATCCTTATGATGCTGTGCTGACTTGTCAAGGTGATCTAAGGAAAGACGATGTGAAGAGGGAAACGGCTGCCTGCCGCAAGAGTAGCTGACTGATAGGATTACTCATTGGATCAGCTCCACCATGACGCAGAGAAGGCAAAAGCAGGAGGTCCCATAAGCATGTATGGGCACCCGCCATTGCTACACTCAAGCCTTTCCTTTTTCAAACAGCCTTTGCCAAGCCATCTTTGGGACAGTGGAGAGGGAAGCAGGGAAGCTGTTTTGGGAGGGCTGAGCCGGGAAGGTGTTAATCCATTGCCTGCTTTAGACACAGAGTGTCTCAGCTGGATCAAATCTGCAGTGTTCTGTGCCGACCCCAGAGAATTCACAGGAGAGAATCAGAGACAGAGAGTACTCTGGTTTCCTCCAGCCTGGAGGGGACACAAAGCACAAGGGACAGCAGAGTGAGAAGAGCCCAGAATTATTAATAAATGCCTTTGTGCTCTTGCCACCACTGCAGAGCTTGACGGAGGGGGACTGCCATGGTAGCCAATTTATCTGCTTATCTTTTTAATAAGCTGCCTAATTATCTTGCTGTCTATCCTCTTCTCTCACTTTGTATAACTCTTTGCCCTGCTTTGTATTTACCCAACTTTTAGGTTGTCAGTTTAGGTAATAGTTCTTTATCTCAATGGCCATCTATCCTGCTTGGCTATTTTGTCCCTCTGTATATTGCATCCTATGTTCTTTGTCTACACACTGTCAAAGAAGGGAAGTTAAAAAAGATTACCCTCCTTATTTTTTTCCTGGCCCTTTTAGATAGATCAAACTGCTGATCATCTCACACATTCCCTCTCTCTGCGCCTCCTCTACTCTTTCTCTTCTGCCTTCTCTCTTTATTTCCTGCCCTCTTGTCCTGTTTCATCTCTTTGTTTTTACTTCCACTCCTTTTGCCTCTGCCTTTTTGATTTCTCTGCTGCTTAGTCACCCATCTGCTGTAGGTGCTTACTGATGGACAGCTCCTAGCACTACCAGACAAAGGGCCTTGAACAGCTATTCGGTCTTTGTCTCTTTACTGGATTTTATGTTTATCTTTGGTAAGAAAGGCAGAAAAAATGGTGGGAAAATCAGGGGGATTACAATCAGTGCAATGCAGCCTCATCTGGACACAGACCTGCTCCCCTCCCCATGAAATGGGTTCAAAGAAAGCAGGATGATGGCAGAAGAAAAGCCTCATCTGGTGGGGAGGAAGCACCCTTGTTTCCCATCCAAGGACTTTCTTCTTTTCTCCTAGCACAAATGCTGGAGCTCCCTCAAAGGAGACACTTTTTTTCACCATGAGCCAGTGGCCTCATTCAAAGGGACATCCTTTACAAGTTTGAAAGGGAAAGGAGGAGGAAAATGATCCAGGCTTGCTTCTGCAAGCTGATTGCAGAGTGGAACCCAGAGGCTTTGGGGGCAGTGGGTGGACCTGTGGAAGGAAAGTCTATCTAGCAGGGAGACTGGGATCCCAGGAAGGGCACACTGGGACTCTGTCTCTCCCTTTTGCCACTTCTAAGTAGCAGGAAGAGAGCCAGAGCCCTGATCTATTTCACTGAGGCCTGAGTGTCCATTTGTGACGATGGAAAAAATTCTCTCCACTCAACTGGTGCTCAATGAGTGATTTTCAAGGAGAGGGTCATCTCCCCTTCCTACATATTCCCCACCACCCCCTGCATAGCCCTTAAGCTTAGACAGAAATGCTGCCACTTATGCAGATGGGCTTTTGTCCCTTCCCTCAAGGGGGAGGGGACTTCCAGGGTCATTGTAGTTGGGGAGGGAAGAGTTAACCCTCATCTCCCTGCACACTGCGCCCCCCTCCCACTACATGTCGATCAAACCCATGACCTGGTGTCCTCATCTCTTAACCACCCAGCAATGCCTTTAGCTAAGCTCTTGAAAATCCAGGGAGAGGGGCTGGGAAGGATACAGTGGGAATGCTGTTCCCAGCACATGGCAGGGCCCATCCCATGGAGGCAGTTGCAACGGCCCTCGCCTCCTTCCTCCACCTGCATCTGCTGCCGGGGCAAGGTGGGAGACGTGTGGGAAGCCAGATGTGCAAGAGCACCCACGCTTTGGATGCCCTGGTGTGTCCTCAGAGGACAAGCCCTCATCCTCTCCCTGACTCTGCAAGTGCTGGCGGTGCCTTGGGTGTTCTCACAGCTCCACGCCAGGGAAGGGAGGAGGAGGAGCAGGAGTTTGCCCTGGCATGTCTGTAGGAAATCTCCCAAAACTCAGTGACAGATGGCCATGGTCTCAGGTGTCACTGGAGGGATCCTGTGGTCTTCCTGCCCACAGGAATTGGGGTCAGATATGAGACTGATGCAAAAACAGCTTGAGGCAGGAGAGCTCTTCAGCAGGAGCGGCAGGATGTGGCAGAGCGGGGAAGAGACACGATTGTTCTGCACTGCTGCTGCTGACGTGGGCAGCTCTGCCGAGCAGAGGAGTCTGCCGCAGACCCGCTGCAAAGGGACATCACTCCTTCCCTTCCTTCCGTCATGCTTTGCTTCTGGAGAACTGGGCCAGAGATTTAGCAGCAAAGCCCTGGCAACAGGCTGTTGCCTTCTTTTCAGATGAGAGAGTTAGCCGCACTTGGTCCTCTCTCCCTCTCTCTCTGCAATGGGCTCTGTACGTGATAATGATATATTAATTTGCATTAATTATAGCATTAATACATCCTTAGGGCTTCTCAGGAGCAGCAACTAATTACTCTGTCATATGAAGGCTTTGCAATATGGTCCCTGCGCTCCCAGGCAGAGCTTTTGTTGAGAGGGACGAACCCAAAAGCAGAGGTGGTGGTCAAAGTGGCCTTTAAAAAGGGTCTGTCTTTTTCTTAAACAGGTAGGTGAGGCAACCTGTGATTATCATTTGCAGTGCAGTCAAGGAAACATCCAAGAAACAACAGCAGAACATTCAGAAACACCCACAAACCTTGGGCACGCAAAAGCTCGCCTTCTTGTAGATGTGGATAGCCCAGTTCCAGACATAGCTAAAGTGCTGTTCTACTACTCCCAACACCCATTTGCTCTTCTTCCTCAGATATGCTGTGCTCGTTGACTGTGAGAATAACCAGGGCGCTATTTGATCTGATACAATCATGCATTCCATTTTGTCCTGTCTCGTCCCATCCCAAGGATAGCATGACACAACTTCTCCTTTCACTGTCAACGTACCATGATTTCCTTCTGTCTCATAGTATGGTAAGGCTTGGGAAACGGTAGGGTTCTACTTCCCCTTGTAAGAAAATAGAATGTATATCCCCACGATGCAAAGCCCTTGTACAGAGTTTAGATTTACAGAACTGCATTCCGATCCAAGAGATGTTTTGCAGTGGTAGTAGGTGTAAGTAGGAAATCCACTTTGTTTTACGGTGTGATAATGGACTGGACTAAGCAACCATCTTTCAGCATAAGATACTGGACTTGATTATTGCCTTACTAATACGGCCTTGCTAAGGAATCATGAGGAGGTTCTGTTTCTCCTGTGTTTAGCCTTACGACAATACAGCAGGACTGAGCTCCTCTCATATCGTCTCAGTATATAGCAGAGAAATATTATTTACAGCACAACACTATGCAATATACCAGGGTCAAGGAACCATTTCAACTCAAGGGCTAAATTGGCCCCAAACAGGACACTGGGGACCACCATCCAAACATCAACGGGGCTACTGCTCACATCCAGACTCCTGAGCAATCTTGAATGGGGTAACAGTGCCTGTTATAAATCCATAACCAGTGCCAGTGTGCTGTAGTGGTTAAGAGGGACTCAGGCGATCTGGATTCTAGACCTTGCTCAGTCATGGAGCCAACTGGGTGACTTTGGGCCAGTCGCACTCTCAGCCCAACCTACCTCACAGTGTTGTTGTTGTGGGGATAAAATGGAGGAGGAGAATGATGTAAGCTGCCTTGAGCCCTTTGTAGGAAAAAGGCAGGATATAAATTGAAAAATCAATAAACCAATAAATAACCAATTAACAGAAAGGAGAGAGCAGAGATAAATGGATAGCTCTAGCAATGAATGCAAATGAGGGTATTTCAATGTTCTCTTTTGAGACTGCTGGTTATTAACTAAGTTACAGACAATCGGAAGTTAGTAGTGAGATGGCCAAGTTTGCTGATGACACCACTTTATTAGAGCAGTTGAAATGGAAAGAGATAGCAAAGAGCTCCAAAGGAATCTCCCCAGAAGAAGAGGGATGAGAAGAGGGTCAAATATGGGTCACTGCAAGCAAGCATAAAGTGTTGTACACTGGAACAAAAAGTCACCATTTCATGTATGTACTGATGGAATCCAGGCTGACAATGACTGACTAAGAAAGAAATCTCAAGGTTGTGGTGGGCTGCGCAAAGGAAATGTTGACCTAACGTGCAGCTGTTGTGAAAAAGACAACTTCCAGCTTGGGGGTCATTAGGAAAGGAACTAAAAATAAAACTACCAGTATCATAATGCCTTTAAACAAACGTATGGTGCAACAAACCTTGAAATACTGTGTACAGTTCTGGTCACTGCACTTCAAAACAAATCTGTAGAGCTAGAAAAGGTGCAGGAAAGGGCAACTGAAAATAACCATGGGGCTGGAGCAACTCTACTGTGAGAAAATGTCACAATATTTGAGGCTTTCAGTTTAGAAAAAAAGCAAAAATCAGGGGTGGACATAATAGAGGGATATAAAATTATGCATGTGCAGAGAAAATGAGTGAGAAGCCAAATGTCTGAACGTGTGAAGGCTTAAAGTGGGTAGAGAGTACCATCTTTGCAAGGGTGAGCGATCTTTCTCTAATTATCTTAATTCCTTGACTCATTCAGAGCTAAAGAAGGCATTTAAAGAATTACACTTCAAGAATATGCCATCTGCGTATCTGGATGGGAATTGTATAAATGTTCCCATATTTCAATGCATTTGCATATGTGGGGCTCCACAAATACAGGATCTCTCCCTCCCTCGCTCTTGTGTGTGTGTGCATAAGATCTCTTGTTCTTTTGCTGGAGGAATGTCTGATAGAGCTTGGCCTGAACAGGTGTGCAAGCTACCTGTAGATGAAGGTCCACATGCACTAACTATGTGGCCTTATTCTCAGGAGTGGCCCAAAAGTGGCTTCTGAAAATGCTGCTGTAAATCATGTCCATGATGAACTGATCTGAGTGGCTTGTTCAACCTTTTTCTTTCTGTGACTGTCTCTCTTTCTGTTGTTGTGGCAAAATTGTAAGAAGCTACAATTATATGCAATAGACTGAACTGACTACAGGAGGGCAGAGAGTGGGTGTCATGCATGCTAGGCCCACCCCATACATTTTTTGTAGCCCTGACTTAGGCCCCTTAATCCAGTCCTCACTGTGTTGAACTGGCAAGGTCTGAAAGGGAGCTGCATGGGAACTGAGAAGGCTTGGGTACTCAATGCTGAACGCAACATTCAGTTGTGACTGGGAACACTACTAAGACTTGGTCCATGACAGCATGGAGAATTCAGCTCAGGACAGCCAGCAATGCAAGGGGCAACAGCCCTGACCCTCTACCCACTGAAGACCTTGGGTGTTCAGGTGAATGAACATCCCCCACTTGAACAGAGCGGTGGGAGACTCAGACAGATACTTGTTTAGGCAGCATGTAGATGAGCTAAGGAATTTGCTATCCCAAGAAGTAGTGATGGTTCCCAATTTGGAAGGATGATTGTCTTCCTAGTAAGTATGTACACTATTCTATCCTTACTCTCTAATGAAAAAAATGAGTTTTTAAAACAACGTATTCACTTATTGAAAATTACTACATTTGCTATATTATGGGTGGGAGAACCAGAAGATTGCCAGGTAAGAACACTCAAAACACTAACAACTTGGCTTTTAAAATCAAGAATACGAAAAAGATGTCACTTCCCCCTGTAATTCCTACAACACTCCTGTAGGTTATGCCAGAATTTTTATCAGCCTCACAATAGCTGGGGTGAGGTCTATCCTGGGCAGACTCCAGGCTTGAGGGGGCCACTAACAAAGAGCTCCTTTCTACTTCGGTACCCCCCACCCTCCTGGTGATAGCCCGCAGGCAGCTTCACACTGGAGTTCCTGACCCCAAGGCATTAAGGGGAACTTTAAATGGTGGGTTTGGCCTCGTAGGCCCGGGAAATCATTGGCACTGGAGGGCCCTGCTAGCTTGCTGGTGCTGAACAGCAAGCCTGAGAGCTAACGCAGCATAGAGCAAGAGTTTGGCTGAGATCACCCATTACGCTTATGGCTGTCCAAGCCTAGATTTGAACCAAGGATTTCTTGTTCATCATGCTTAATCATGAAGGTTCCATAAATCACTGAAAAGAAATGATTTCATGTGATCTTTCCTGGTTTGACAGTTGTATTCCCTTATGTACAGTTGCATTCCCCATGCCATCGACTTCCAGGTTTGCCCTTTATCCGATGGGCAAACCCCAGCCCTGGCTTCTGACTTGGCAGCCACACTCCTGTCCCCCGTGCCTTGAGCACCACCCTTCGCACCTCAGTCAACTAACTCCCTCCTCTTTGACCGCTGTACCTGAATTGAGACATCACTGTAAGAACCCCCAATGACTCCAGTGATGGCTGTAGGAACATCGTCATGGATGGCATAGGACCCATCGGGGCAGATGTGCTCAGAGCCATCCACTCTGGTGAGGGAGGCCCGGACAAAGTCCAGGGACTGTTCCAGGGCATAGGTGTCCTTCGAGCAGGTGTCTAAAATGTGTGCCCCCAGCGTGATGCCTGGAAGGATCTGCGGGTTCTTGTTAATCTCATCGAGTGCAAATAGCATCGCCTCGAGGCGCTGGATGCCACGGTGTTCATTGATCTTGCCACACTCCTCTGTAGGGCCACCCTTCTCATGAACTGGGAACAGGCCTCCTATAACCAGGTCCCCTTCCAGGCTGATCTCTTTCTTGGTTGCCACGTTGTAGCTGGGATTCTGGCTGCTGGCATGGCATGCGGCTGGGCAGGACAGCAGAATCCATAGCAGGGTGGCCGAGGATGCCATGGCACTGCCTCGAGAAGGCAACAGGCCTCCCCAAGCCCCCAGGGCACCCTTGTCAGAGCAGAGGTCTCAGGTGGCCTACCATTTGCTGAACCAAAGACAGACAGTTGGAGCTGTCACCAAAAGGACAGGCTGCCTTGGACCTGACAGCAAAGTTCAATGCCGGACTTGAGGAAGCTCCAGTCTCGGGGGAGCCCCAGTGGGTGCACTCGCTGCGAGAAGCGGCACTCTTGCCAGTCACTTTGGAGATGGAAATACCCAGCACCTGCAAGCAGGGAGGGTGGAAATGGGGCGGGGGGGGGGGGGAAGAGAGAGAGAGAGAGGAGATCATTAGTTGCAGTATTTAAAGCTGGAAAAAATCCTTTTTGTTTTGGATCTGTGGCTTTAACATAAGCTGTGCTATCACAAAAGGAGTCACTCCACAGCAGCACTTACTCATCTCTGCAAAGAAAATGGCATTTGCTTAGGTGGGCTGATATTGGCTTTCCCAGAGTGCGCAGAATAGCCAGAGGGAATATCTTCTTCAGGCGAGCACAAAGATAATCCTACCACATAAAACCTGACTCTTGCTTGTTGCAACAAGAGGCTGGCTAGCTGCAGAAAACAGATGGCAGAGATTTTCTTTTTTATGGTTATTTAGAGTTTCACAAGATTGACAAAGCCAAAGAGAGGGCAAACATGATTTATAGCCATATCACTTACACTAAAACAACAAAAAATAAGGGCTTTTCTATTTCTGTGACAGCATTTGCAAAGGCTTTCTTTGTTGCACAGCAAAAGAAGCTAGAATATCTATATACCTTCTAATTTGTTATCCATGTTCCATCTTTGCAAGGGACAACAGTAACTGTAAAATAAGATGCAACACCAGGGTGGAACTGTGGATGCTAGAGAGTGAGACTGCGCAGCTTTCTCCAGAGAAGAAACGGAGTAGCTCAGGAGTCCCTCACCTTTCAGTCTTTGTCTGGCAACCGAAACTTAGGAACTGCAGAAAGCAGACATGCATTTTTTTCAATCCCCAGATGCAGTTGGAGAGATTGCAGTGGGGCTCCTCTGACTTCTTCCCTGCTCCCACTGGCCTATCATTCACCCCTCTGTGCCTCACCTGCAGTGGGCCACACCAGGGATCCTGCTCTCCCCAGGGAGGGGGAGAGGTGTGGGGCAATCGCAGGGAAGGGAAGGGGGCAGGTGAAGGGGGAGAAGAGCTGCAGTTGTCTGTTTCCTGATGCTGCAGCAGATTTATAAATACGTGTCTGCCTGCCAGTTTGTAAGTTACCAGCCTTACCCTCAAAATATTTTCATATTTGCTTCCCCTTTCTCTCTGTCACTGACAGAATAACCTTTAGAAACGGCATTCTCCTTTTTTCCACTCTCAATGGAAACCTTTCACTCCATAGCTAAGAGAACAGTTGGGGAGCCTCTTTCAGTCCAAGGGCCAAATAGAATTGCCGAGAAGCTCTTGGGGGGCGCATTCCTGTTGCGTGTGAAACCAAAGGGGGTCAGGCCCAGCTTCCCAAAATAGCATCATTTCGCTTAGACTCCTACTGGCAGTAACTAAGCCTTAGGAGCAGCATTTCAGCCTTTTAGAGCAGGGCTCCGCAAACAGAGCAAAGCTGCAAGACTAAAAGGTTGCTGGTCAGGAGAAAGAAGGTGCAGCCAGGAAAGGGTCAACTGGGGAACCCCGAGGGGCAAACTGAGGCATACCAATTGAGACTTGAAGTTCCCCAATTCTGCAGTAGATTGTGCTCCAGAAAATAAGACTCCAGGCCAATGGCATGTAAATCATTACCAATTGTTGTGCTATTATTATTCTTTCATGAGACCTTAGAAGAATTAGTTTTTAAAGAGTTAAATAACACTAACTAGTATAATGTAAATTAATCAGTATGAAACATAATGCTTTTGTTAAGGGATGCCATCATATTTTGTGAAGGGTTCTCTACACAGGCTTGCTGCTAATTATCCGTTGGGGTTGAGATCTTTCTGGGAGGGAGGGAGGGAGCTCCCCTTTGGAAGCAACACTAAAATTGCTTGTTTGCTGCAGTCGCTTATTATACTGAACAAACTAGCAAAGGGGGCAGTGGGGACATAAGACTGCCCGGATGATCATCAGACCTAAGTATTGTAAGTAATATCACTTCTTTTCAAGACTATTCTCTTTCGTTAAGACCACACAGAACACAATGGGCTGCCTTTATTTAAAAATATGTTAAACCCATAGCCTGAGAATCCCAGCTTTGTATGGTTTCATATTTCCACGCTACGGAATTCTTCCCACCGCCACTGCCTATTTGAAATGAAGAAACTCTGGTTTGAAACTTTCCTGAATTTCTAGTCACCATGGAAACCAGGCGAGAGAGACCCTGAACAGACAGAGGAAGATGTGCAGCTGTGAGAGCAGGGCCAGCATCTCCACCTAGGAGTGCCGGGATGCTTCCCACAGCGACTCGTTTTGGTGCGCAGCATTTCCCCTGAAAAACCCATAAAGCGGCACTTTGGGGCAGCTGCAGTGAGTGACAAACAGTTTTCCCGCCTCCTTGAAGGATTCCATATTATTCAAGAGTGATGGCTTGAAAAGTCTGCATGAAGAGGGACTGTGAGGACACTGTTTTAACTTTCAGCCTATGGGGACACAATATTGAAGGCCAGCTGGGAGAGAGAAAGCACGTATGTAATGCCTGGAATCCTTACGGGGAAAATCTGCCTGCCCTTCAGTTCGTTGATCTCTTTTCTTTGTGCTCTGTGCTGTAGATTATATCAGAGTTGCCAAGTTCATTGAACCCCAGTGCCTCACACTATCTCTTGGGTTCGAGACTCCAAGCCATACTGGATAGAATTTCTCTTGTTTGCCACTGCCAGCATGCCAGCCTACTGCTTTGCCTGATTCATCTTCTGGGGGAAACATGGGGAAGGTTAGTTGGTTTGTTTTCCAAGCCCATTACATTCCTGACACATCCTCCTCTCCTAGTCGTGCGGCTACCCTTGTGATCATGCATCCATGGCCAGCCAGAAAGACAAACCGGCCAGGATCTGAATTCTCAAATGACTCAGTGAAGTAGGAGCTCCTTTCCTAAAGCCCCTTCCCTTTTCTTTCCTCTGCCTTCCTCCTTGCTTTTCTCATTCCTTTTCTCCCCAAGCATAGTGGGAGTTCCAGATTGGAGGCTCACATAACTGAAACCTTAAAGGGAAAAACTCCTAAACAAAAACATCAGGGCAATGGAATGAGGCTGTAACTAGAAGGTAGCCATAAGAGAGTGTCAACTTCAGACCGACACTGCTGAAGTGATCAGACTGGATAAAAATCACCCTGCAACATCAAAGTGTCATGGAGCATTTCCAGCTTTTTGCCCACTGGTTACCACCTTGGGTGCCTTAAGAAAAGCCTTATCATGCCATCACCCTGCCTCATTCATGGAATTTCATGGGGAGTTCAGGTTTGTGTTCCACTCAACCCTGCTGTGTTTTCCCATGAATCTTCTATATTTTTCTTACTGCAGAAAATCCACTGATGAGGTGGGACTGAACAGTTGCACGATGCCCTCTGACTGGTAGTGCTAGGCACCCTCTCTCTGGCTGCCCCTTGGTGCTTTGGCTGTGAGAGGAAAGAGAGAGAGACAGGACAGCCAAGGGTGCCATTGATGAAGGCTGAGAGAGGGGCGGCTGCCCCAAGGATTTCATATCATCTGGCATGCCCATATCACTAGCCATTATGTGGTTTACCCATATCACAGGCTCTTAAAATATTCCCCCTTTATGTTTTGTTTGTTTGTTTTTGCCGTGGACTGAGCAACCCTGTCCATTACACCAGGACTGGAGATATACCACTGCTACACTGGCAGAATGGCTTTTCTATCCAAAATGTTTTCAGCCAGGGAAGGGGAAGAAAATACACAGCTAGAAAAGAGAGAAATGGTGTTAAATGACAGTTCTTGGAAGCGCCGCTACAGCCCACCAATCCGCGGCTCTGCCAGTAAAGCTGTTTACTCAAGGAGCCTGCCAGTTAACAGAGGTGCAGCACAGCACACGCTATGTAGCATGTGTCCCATAAGAAAACGCCACAGCACCTCCGACAGTGCTGTCTCCAGCCTCCGCTGGAGGGCACAGAGCGCAGCATCCCACATGGGGCCCTGGGCAGAGTCCTTGCAGCGCACACAGGCCTTAAGGACGAGGGCTTGAATCCCACCTGAGGAGGAAACAGCTCATTCAACAAGCTGCAGGAGGGGGCCGGGTAAAGAAATTCCGCTGGCTCACTCCATGGGGCAAGGAGTGGGGAGGCAGTAGTTGAGTGTTGGACTCCAGCAGGGGAAAGGGGAAACACAGCTCCACTCTGCTCTTGCATGGTTGTGAAAACCAACTGACTTGTGTGAGATCCCAAGAAGAAGGAGCTTCCTGGATTTGAACCTGCACTACAAGCTCCACTGAGCAGCTTTCTTAAGGAAAAGGGGACCTGAGCAAGCGCGGAAGGAGGAAGGGCTACCAGCTCTTCTGGAAATACCTTTAGGAGCACCTTGGCCCAGATACTCAGCCTCACCAATCTGGTCCTCTGGGGATAACCGTCTGCTCCTGGGAGATCAATGTCAACCGACCAGAGGATTTTCTCAGTGGTCACCCCTAAACGGTGGAATGACCTGGCAGGAGAGATGTGTCAGACATTCCAGACTTCAGGAGGAAGTGAAAGACATATTTCTTCCACGAGTTCTACCCAGATTAGTTTTATTTAATACATTGTTCTTATTCCAAATTTGAATTGTTGTTGGTTTAAAATGGTTGCAAATCACTCAGAGCCTATGGGAATGGGGCAGTATATAAAAACCAGTAATAGTGATAATAGAAGTAGTGGTGGTGGCAGCCCTGAACTCCTCAGATTCTCCCTCTTCACACCCTGCAGAATCCCATCTTGAGGCAAGCTGAAGCCAGAGTTTTCAAGGGGAAGGGGAAGGGATTCCGGTCTGTCAATCCCTGGCAATGAACTAAAAGCTCATGCAACACAGGCAATGCTTTAT